AAATTTGATTAACGCCCAAATGTGATGTTCACAAGCGGTCAATTGTAGCACAGAAGGGTGGTCGTATCCACATAGATATAACAAAATAACAAGAAAGATTAACATAATAAAAGCGTTAGAGAAAAATAAATAACAAGTGAATTAAAGAAAAAGAAGAGTTTTTAAGATTTTTGTTACAAATAAAAAGAAGAGAAGATTTGTGTGAAAGAAATTTAGTAGTAAAAACGGTAAGGTGTCGAGAATCCCTAATGTTTTGTTCACCAATTCAAGTTTTGATTCACAAAATAAAAGAATTGAATAAATCAAATCTCCATGTTGACTATGAAAATATTATTATTACAAGTTATCCAAAATCGACAATATATCAATTTGATAATATTGCAGTAAAAGATAATCTGTAAAATAATTTGAATAACAAAACAATGCATGACAGAATTACATAAGAAAAGCGTGACTGAACTTATATAAAAATTAGCACACAATATTTTGAAAAGTGAAAGAAAGATAGATGAGATTTAATTCATTCGGATGTTAAAGTTTACAGTACAAGGAATCAAAACCCAAATTAGGTCACTCAACAAAAGTTCATCTTTAACCTCACGAAGAGAACTCTAGCCTAACTTGTAAAACATTCTCACAAGTTCTATAGAGAAAATATGAAAGTGACAGCAAGACGACAGAAAACTCAATATGAAAAGCTTCCTAAAACCTTGGGCTAACCCCCTTATTTATAGTGTTTAGAAGTTGCCTGTCAAATAAGGAAATAAACAATAAAAATAGAAAATTACAAAGGAAAAAGGAAACAAAATAAAATTACACATAAATTAGGAGAAATCATGTATTTAATTTGGGGAAGAAATCCGGTAATTTGCTCTGATTTTTGGGGAAGAAATTCAGATTTAGCACTAAAGGGACACGTGTTGCAATGTAATTGGAAGGATGGAGTCAATTGGCCACATGTCACGCTCGGAGTGGTTGGCATGTGCTGACACGGTCAGAGTGGAGGTGATGCTGGCCGACAGATGGGGTCCCACTGAGACACGTGGCTGGCACTGAGCAGGTGCGGGACCCACGGGAGCTTGGTTTGGAACGCGCTGGAGACGTGCGTGCATGGGATGCGCTTCCTGTGAGTCCTGCGTGTAGGTGACGCACGCAAATTGGAGTGGGGAATGCGGGAAAGGTGGGACCCTCGCGGAAATTAGCTTGGTTGAAGGAAGGCGTGGCTCTCTCTGATTGGCTCGGCTTATGTGGCTCGGATTGGCTAAAAATATGACTTTCATGGCTTTTCTTGTGTAGTTTCTCACACTGTTTTTTATCTGTAAATAATTAAGCAAAAACTATACAAATTCCAGTTAAAAATATTATGAATAAAAATAATGGAATTATTTAATTAAAGCTTAAATATTTTAATATTTTATAAATCAAAAGCATTATTTATGGTGCATTTTCATGCACTAATCAATATCCTATGAGGATGATGCACTAATATATTGAGTCATGGACGAGAGCTATTCAGAGCGTTGTAAATACGCTATATAAATCGAGAGTGCAGCTCTAGGCTTTTAGTGGAGTAGCGCTAGAGTTTTATAATCATGAGACGAACTTGTTGGTTTACAAGTAGTGTTGTGATCATAATTTCCTGTAACGATATGGTGTATTTCTTACATATTGGTAACTTGTGTTATTTTCGTAAAAGAGGTTCAAAGTTAATATGAGATTGGTTTATTAATTCATGAGTGATTTATTGGGTGAATTAATTGATAAATTAATTCTAGATAAATTGGTTGAATTATTATTTTAAGAGTTGTTTAATATGGGAAAACTATTGTATGACTGTTTTGATCAGGCAACTTCTCTATTGGGTTGCTTGAATCAAAATTGAGGTTCTATGCAAGTTTTCCGTGTTTGAAAACTAGGGAAACAAGTTTCGCTAGTTCAGACAGGTCGATCGGTCCGGTCGACTGGTTCATGAAGGACCGGCCGACCGGTGAGTTATAACATCTCTGTCACCGGTCGATTGGTTGTAACGTGTATTGCATGTTGACGTGGCAAAACTGACTCTGTAAGGGAGATAAACTTTGGGAAACCTAATTGTTACGGAAATATGACTTCCTAAACACTATAAATAGCCCATTAAGTCACATTATTCATTAGATCACTTGAGAGACTTTTTGGGGGCTATTGGTAAAAGATTCCTACGAGGAAAAATTATTTAATTCTCAAGAATGAATTTTCCTTTGGCTCTCTTGTGGTTGGAAGGAGTTCAAGAATACGAAGAGGAGATTGAACAATGTGTGCCTACCCGCACTCTAATCGTGGAAACGAGAATAACAAAGAAGACCAGTTGGTTGAGGCTCTTCCGGTTGCTGTTTGGAACACTTTGATATGTCACACGTGATGTTTCCTAAATCTCCAAATGTATGATTTAGATCTTTAGTATTTATGTTATATAGCATCATGAACATGTTCTTGATTGGCTTTGGCATTGATTTAAATTTTTAAAATTCCGTTGCGCACTCGATGCCGTATTTTCCAACAATTGGTATTAGAGCCATGGTTATTTGTTCATGATTATGCTATGTACATAGATTTGTGATCTAAAAAATATCTCCTTTATGCTTGAATTGATATTTTAGAGTGTTGGCACTCTAGTGTTTTTATATTTTTTTGTTATCATGAATATATGGTGAATGGATGATTAAATAATTATTATTGATTATCATTTATAAATTATCAATGGTTTTGGATTATTTAATTTTTACCAGTTATGGTTCCTTAGAGTTTAGAATGGGTGTATAGGAATTTGTTCTTGGCAATGTAATTAGATATATGACGTATCATCGCTGTTCGGGTTTATTTTATTTTTTTTCATAGAAATTTTGTAAACTGGAAATGATATAGGAATTTTCATGTAAAATTTCTTGGACGAGATTTATCATGGATCTTAAAGATGAAGGATGTAAAGGTATCTAATTTTTTCTTGGTTTATAAAATCGTTTTGTGTTTTTGAATAAATTGAAAAACTGTTTTGATTTTTATTTTTTCAGATTTTGGTGACAATTTTTTGAAATTGTCAAAAATCTGAAAAATTTAGAAAATTTGGGTTACTATTGCATAGACACCGGTTGACCTTTCTGATCAGCTGGTTAGTGTAAGGCAGTCGACCGATAGAGTATAACTTCTCTGTCACCGGTTGATGAGTGCGTAATTTATGCACTCATTCGTTACTCCTTTAGCTAGTTTCGGCATGTTTTTCCTCAAGTTTTTATGTGGATTTGATGATTTTCCCTTGAGTGTGCAGTAATGGATGAAATCGCTGAGTTCTGAGGCATTTTGGATCAAAAAGACAGAGAATGAGGCGATACGTCGCCTTCAGATGGCGATGCGGCTCGAAAAGGAGCAAAAATCGAGCAAACTTGTACGAGTGAATAGCGAGAGCTGCGACATGTTGCTTCCTTTTAGGCGATATGTCACTGCCTCTAGGCGATATGTTGCTGTCTCCAGGCGATATGTCACCTGATTTGCTGCATGCCCTAGTCTGGTGCACAGATAACAGCGAGAGCTGTGATATGTCGCATGTTTCTAGGCGATATGTCGCCTCTCGATTTTATTAAAAACACGCATTTAGCCCTAGGTTAGGGGCACAGATTTTTATGGAAAGTGATTGGCTTCTTGGGAGGCGTGCTGAACGTGGAATATAAAAGGGGAGTCTAAAAACTGAGAAAGGGAGGAGAAAAAAGGTTTGCAAAAGGAGAAAAGCTGAATCAGAGAGGATTTGAGATTGGAGCAGTTCTTCAAGAATTCCAAGCATTCTTTCTTCTCTTTCTTCTTGTATTTCTCTAGATTTTGAATATTATTTTGAGACTGTGAGCCACATGATGTGTGGCTGATTTTCTTATTTGTTAGGGTTTAGATGAATCTCTATTTGTGATTATTGTTTCGACATTTTAATGTGCATTTAATTAAAGCTCTTCGTTTCTTTCGTGTTCTATTTTGAATTATTGCTGCCAAATCTATGATCAAGGAGTGTAGCCGTATGGGAGGACATGGCCCAAAAGTTCCTCATCAAATGCTTCCCACCCTCCAAGACGTCTCAACTGAGGGCCGAGATTACTCAATTTCGGCAGTTTGAGTATGAACAATTATATGAGGTGTGGGAACGGTTTAAAGCGAGGCTCCACAAGTGTCCTCAACACGGTATTGGGGATTGGTTCCAAGTTCAACTTTTCTATAATGGGCTTACTAGGCAAACTAAGGCCCATATTGATGCATCGGCTGGTGGAACCATCTTGTCAAAGACACCCGGGGATGCACTCAATCTCTTTGAGGACATGGCAATGAATAGTTGTCAATGGCAAATAAGCGGTCCACTGTGAATAGAGCAGCAGGCCACTGTAAAGAGAGTGGCAGGAATTTATGATGTGGATCAAATGACGTCTCTCATGGCTCAAATGGCACTCTTGACTAATCAAATCCAGGGACTTACCGCAGCCAATACCAATGGTAATCAAGAAGCTATAAAGATGGCACAAGCTTCGAGCTCAAGTGATTCATATGATGAGCAATGTCACTTCGTCAACCGTAGCAACAATTTTAGGCCCAACAACAACTTACCGACATACCATCATCCCGGGCTCAGAAACCATGAGAATTTCTCTTATGCCAACAACCGGAATGTTTTACAACCAACTCTGGAGTCGAGTAAACCGGCAATGGAAAAGCCTTCCTCATCACTTGAAGAGCTTTTGAAGACGTATATTGTGGACTCTAAGGCTCGTCTTGATCAACATGATGCTCGTCTCAACAACACTGAAACTCACTGCACCAATTTGGGAGGCACTATGAAGGCACTAGAAACACAAGTTGGCTAATTGGCTAATGCTATAAAAGGGCAATCATCAAGGTCCTTCCCAAGTGACACCGAGAAGAACCCAAAGGAGTGCAAGGCCATCACATTGAGGAGTGGCAAAGAGCTTGAAGGCCCGAGTGTTCAAAATGCCATGGTTGATGAGGAGGCTATCAAGAGCAATGACGATGGTAAGGATAAGTCAAAGGAGGAAAATCTGAAGACCAAGAAGGAAGCACCGGTGGTTAGACCAGGTTCGATCACTTTTCCGGATAACCCACCTCATATCACTCCCTCATTGCCATTCCCTCAACGGTTCCAGAAGAAGGCGCTTGACGAGCAATTTGAGAAATTTCTCAATATCTTCAAGAGGATCCACATCAACATCCCCTTCGTGGATGCTCTAGAGCAAATGCCAAACTATGCCAAATTCATGAAGGAAGTTATGACCAAGAAGCGCAAATTCGAGGACTATGAAACAGTGAAGCTTACGGAAGAATGTAGCGCTATCATAAAGAGACAACTACTGGAGAAATTGAAGGATCCGGGTAGTTTTAGAATCCCATGCATCATTGGAGAACTTCACATTGAGAAAGCCTTGTGTGATCTTGGGGCTAGCATCAACCTCATGCCTCTCTCTATCTTGCGGAAGCTCAACCTTGGAGAGATCACACCTACCACCATCTCACTACAATTGGCGTACCGCTCTCTCACCTACCCTAAAGGTATTATCGAGGATTTCTTGGTTAAAATTGATAAATTCATTTTTCTAGTTGACTTTGTGGTGTTAGACATGGAGGAGGACCAAGAAATTCCTATTATTCTGGGCCGACCTTTTCTTGCTACCAAGAAGGCTTTGATTGATGTCCATGATGGTAACTTGACACTTCGGATGAACGGCGAAGAGGTAAAGTTCAACATTAGTAACGCCATGAAATTTCCGGAAGAGCGACTAAGTTGTAACCGGGTGGATGTGGTGGCCTCGTGCTTTAAGGACTTCTTTCAAACCATTATTTATAAGGACCCTTTGGAGAACACCGCTCTCTAAAGGGGATCTCAGGGTGGAGTTCAGTGCGTGTGAAGTGGACTTGATTGATAGTGTCTATGCTCTAGAGGCGCTACCGGAGGAGAAGGTTAATCCAAAGGAAGAGGATGTACTTAAAGTACCCACACCTTATAAAGGCTCAGAATTGAAAACCACCACTAGTGACAGGCTAGTTTTGAAGTAATTACCTGACCATCTTCGCTATGTATTCTTGGGAGATGACTCCACTAAGCCGGTCATAATATCGGCATCTTTAAGCGAGGAGGACGAGCGGAAGTTGATCAACGTGCTAAAAAGGTACTCATCCGCATTTGCTTGGTCAATTTATGACATTAAAGGTATTAGACCGGCCATTTGTATGCACAAGATTCTCATGGAGGACTCCTACAAGCCTTCTATTGAACACCAATGGAGACTTAATACCGCAATGAAGGAGGTTGTGAGAGCGGAGGTTCTGAAGCTATTAAATGCCGGTATTATATATGCCATTTCTGATAGTTCATGGGTTAGTCCGGTGCAAGTGGTGTCGAAGAAGGGTGGCATGACGGTAGTTAAGAATGAGAAAAATGAGCTCATTCCAACTCGCACGGTAACAGAGTGGCGAGTTTGTATTGATTATAGAAAGCTCAACAAGGCCACCCGGAAAGACCATTTTTCATTGCCCTTCATTGATCAAATGCAAGATCGATTGGCGGGGCACGAGTACTATTGCTTCCTTGATGGCTATTCAGGCTATAACCAAATTGCCATTGCCCCGAAGGACTAGGAGAAGACCACATTCACTTGTCCATATGGTACATTCGCCTTTCGCCGGATGCCTTTCGGGTTGTGCAATGCGCCGGCTACCTTCCAACGATGTATGATGGCCATCTTTGCCGACATGGTGGAGAATATTGTGGAGGTATTTATGGATGACTTCTCAGTCTTTGGTTCATCTTTTGATTCTTGTTTGCACAATCTTTGGTTGGTGCTTCAAAGATGTGTAGAGACAAACCTTGTCCTTAATTGGGAGAAGTGCCACTTCATGGTGAAGGAGGGGATCGTCCTTGGTCACCAAGTTTCGTCACTAGGTTTGGAGGTGGATCGAGCCAAGATTTCCACAATTGAGAATCTACCACCACCAACAAATGTGAAGGGAATTCGAAGTTTTCTCAGCCATGCGGGATTTTACCGGCGATTCATTAAAGATTTCTCTAAGATTGCCAAGCCACTTTGCAACTTATTGGAAAAGGACGTGGCATTTCTTTTTGATGACTCTTACCTCAAAGCCTTCAATATGCTTAAGGAAAAGCTCATAGCGGCCCCCATCCTAATCGTCCGCGATTGGAGTGAACCCTTCGAGATTATGTGCGACGCTAGTGACTATGCTATTGGAGCCGTACTTGGCCAACGGAAGGAAAAAGTTTTTCGGGCAATCTACTATTCAAGCCGCACTCTCAATGAGGCCCAAGAGAATTACACAACAACTGAGAAAGAGATGTTGGCAGTGGTATACTCATGCGACAAGTTCCGGCCTTACATCATTGGGTCCAAGGTTATTGTATTTACGGATCATGCAGCCATCCGGTACTTGTTCGAGAAGAAAGATGCGAAACCCCGATTGATTAGATGGGTCTTATTGCTACAAGAGTTTGATTTGGAGATCCGGGACAAGCGAGGCGTTGAAAATGTGGTAGCCGACCATCTATCTCGCCTTGAAGGGGTTGTTGAAGAACAAGGAGCTTCGTCCATTCTAGAATCATTCCTGGATGAGCAATTGTTTGCAGTTGAGGTAAAGCTCCCGTGGTATGCTGATCTTGTTAATTATCTTACATGTAAGGCTTTGCCACCGGGTTTAACCTCTCAACAAAAGAAGAAGTTCATGCATGATGTGAAGCACTACATTTGGGATGATCCCATTCTTTTCGAACGATGCGCCGATCAAGTCATTCGGAGGTGTGTGCCGGAAAAGGAAACCCTGGATATCTTGTTTCATTGCCATTCATCTCCTGTCGGTGGGCATTTTGGAGTTACATGGACCGCCGCTAAGACTCTTGAGAGCGGGGTGTATTGGCCTACTTTGCACCGGGATTGTCATGAATTCGTTAAGAATTGTGACCGGTGCCAATGTGTAGGCAACATTTCGAGGTGACATGAGCTACCCCTCACCAATATATTGGAGGTTGAGATATTTGACGTGTGGGGGATCAACTTCATGGGATCCTTCCCGCCTTCATTTGGTAATCTCTATATCCTTTTGGCAGTTGACTATGTGACTAAATGGGTTGAAGCTATTGCAACTCCCACAAATGATGCTCGGGTGGTTGTCAAGTTTATTCAAAAGAACATTTTCTCACGTTTTGGCACACCTAGAGCTATACTTAGTGATGAGGGCACTCACTTCGCCAACAAGGTGTTTGATTTGCTCATGGCCAAGTACGGAGTCCGGCACAAGATGGCCCTTTCTTACCATCCTCAATCCAATGGCCAAGCGGAAATTTCCAATCGGGAGATCAAGCTTATCTTGGAGAAGACCGTGCAATCAAATCGGTAGGATTGGTCAAACAAGCTTGACGACGTCTATGGGCATATAGGACGGCGTTCAAGACACCTATCGGCATGTCTCCGTACCAGTTGGTGTTTGGGAAGGTGTGTCATCTACCATTCGAGCTTGAACACCGGGCGCATTAGGCCATTAAGAAGCTCAACTTTGATTTGAAGGCCTCGGGAGAGAATAGACTTCTTCAACTCAATGAATTGGAGGAGATTCGTAATGAGGTGTATGAGAATGCGAGGATTTACAAGGAGCGCACGAAGCAATGGCATGACAAGAGGATCCTCCGCCGCGACTTCATTCCGGGAGAGAAGGTACTTCTATTCAACTCTCACCTTAAACTTTTTCCCGAAAAACTTAAATCACGATGGTCCGGTCCATTCACGGTTACGAAAGTCTTTCCATTCGGCGCTATTGAGATACAAAGAGGCGATGAACCTGCCTTCAAAGTGAACAGATAACGCCTTAAACACTATTTCAGAGGCAAGGTGGAAAAGATTGTGAGTCTCAAGCTCGTCGAGGACATTTGAAACATGAGGTCCTATGTCTAGCTAAGGACTTTAAATGTAGCGCTTCGTGGGAGGCAACCCACATATGATGTTTCTTTAATTATGTGTCCAATGGAGTTCTTTGTTCGAAAAATGAAAAAAAAAAAAATTTGAAGAAGCAAAACAGGAAAGGGAGATAGAACAACCGGCGATATGTCGCCTGTAAATAGGCGATATATCGCCTAAAGGAAGACGAAAAAAAGAGGGGAGAAGCACAATAGGAGATTGGGACAGAGCTAGAGGCGATATGTCACCTATAACTAGGCGATATATCGCCTAATGGATTTCGAAAAAAAAAAAAAAAACTTGCATAATTGGGTTATTCGAACACCCCATTTTTAAAACTCCCTCTTTCGTCTCTCTCTCTCTCTCTCTCTCTCCATTTCCCTCCCTCAACTCTCATCTTCCATCACTCTCCCTCATTTCTAACCAATCATCTCCCTCACTCATCTCTCTCTAACCACCACAACCCCTCCCATCTTCTGACCAAAATCCGGCCACCATTGTGACACATCCGCCAGCCCCCGTGGAACCCAACACCAAAATTTCTGTAGCAAAATTGGAAGCATTTTCCAACACATTTCAAGGGTTCTAGGGCTCCAACAAAATTCGACCAAGGCACGCATTGTTCTTGATGCAAAATGGTAGTATTCCTGGGGATGTTGATGAACTTTGAGAATTAGGCTTGGAAATTTCAGTTTATGTACATTACATGTTTGATAAAATGCCTAATAGACTGTTGTGTGTGGGACTTGTTTTTTCAACGTGAGAAATCCTTGTGTGGTAGAAACGCAGGTTGTAGTAAGTAGTAAAAAAAAAAGAAAAAGGAAAAGTGTGGTTGTCGCCGGTGATTCGACTCAAGTTTGGGGGAGAGTTTTGAGGGTTGTTGGGTAATTATTGGTGCTCGGGCGACATTGTTGCTCTTGGTCCAAGTGTTATTGTTATGGCACCAGGGAAGAAAAAGAAAATCACTGCCTCCGCGTCGACTTCATCCTTTACGGTTAAGCACTCCTTTGTCAACAATGAGGCAGCGAAGAAGTATAAATTATGGAATGACAAGAACAAGACGATTATCATGGAGTCGGTTTTTCAACCGGATGAGGGGGATGGGCAGTTACTTCGGATGATCAACCAGAGGGGGGGGCAACAACTATGTTAGGTTCCTGCCACTGGAAACATTAGTGTGGTCTGAGAATTCTACGCCAACGCCCACGTAGAAAGGGATAACCAACAAGTCAAGGTCCGCGGGGTTTCAGTGTCTTTCACTACCGAGACGATCAATTCTATTTTTGACCTACCGAACATCACTGATGATGAGTACTATCGATTACTTGAGGAAAGGCCGGACTATCAACAGATTTTGCGTGAACTTGCCGCTCCTGGGTCTGATTGGGTTTATTCAACCAATAATCCAGAGACTCCCTGACATCTTCCCAGTTCGTGCCTTAGTATCTATGTGAAGATGTGGAACTTATTCGTCATGTCTACCTTGATGCCATCCACTCAGCATTCTGAAATTCTGAGAGATTGGTTGGTACTCCTCTACTGCATCTGCGCCGGGAAATCCATCAATGTGGGCCGACTCATTAAAGACAGTTTCTTGCACATTGCCCGTGGAACCATGACCGGCAGACATGGGCATGCAAGTCTCATCACTGGGTTATGCATTGCCGCTGGTGTTCCAATTTCGGAGGATGAGCCCTGTTTACAATGTGGTACCTTTGACCATCGTAATGTCACACGCACCACTCAATGGTCCGAGGGTCAACCTAATCCTACGGGGCTGGGTTTCATTATCGAGGATCCGGCCAATCCTCCACCACCACCTGTGTGCCCCAGACAACGTCTTCCTCCTCCCAGAAGTGACTTTGATCGGGTCACCCACGAGTCTAGAGTACGTGAGCGTATGGAGGCGCGGACAA